ATAATAATAATAATAATAATAATAATAATATAAGATAATGATGAATGATGATGATGATGGTGGTGGGGATAGTAGGCCTATGAGCATGATAATAATGATAAGGGAGTGAAGTTGAATTATAGCTTGGCGGTTCAGATACTTGCCTTCCATCTCAGGGTCTTGGGTTAAATTCCTGTCACAGTAACATGATTTTCTTCTCACCAACAAAACAACTAAACTCAGTAGCCTCATAATGAGATTTAGTTTATGTAGAGATTCTTGTGTTCATTTGTGAATGGATATGTCAGTATAGTGATTAAGTTCTCTGTTTGGAATATCCGTGGCCTTCATTCTAACAATTAATGAAATAATGAATGAAAGCGATAAACGATAAAGATGATAAAGATAACGTTAATAATAATTAATAATACAGCAGAACCCCTCATACATGACACCCTTTTTAACCATAATTACACATAACTAAGATTGACCGGAATCAATTTTATAGTTTATATTGTTAATTGTACAGAAACCAATGATAAGCGTTTGTCAATTACCAGTAATCACGACAGTAACAGTAATCACGATAGATCTACTGTTGCCGCCATGTTATCAAACACCGAGACTCTGTCAGTTGATTGTAATTGCAACATCTGAAAATTACTACAGTATCCATCAGAGCGAATGAGCGATCGATGCTAGATAACATGTGGCGAAGCCTTGATGTCATTATGATGCTGCCAAAGTTTTATTGTTTTTTTTTGTTTTTTTTTCTCAATAATTATATGAAAGTGCTGATAAAACACATGGAAATAATCGCTTCGGTTAAATGCTGAAAGGAAACAATTTGACAGAAGGGAAGGAAGAGAGTAAGTGAACAATTTCAAAGTATCCCAGTGGAGCAGAGCAAAACAATTAGAGTGCAGCTGAGTGTATGATGTATAACCTTGAAACTCTTTTTAATTTCTAAAATCAAAACTATCGGGAGACGAAATTACGTGTTAAATATTTTCACAAGCTTATCAGACATAGTGGTATATGACCGTTAATGGCTAAATTGCTCTCAAATCTAGGAGGATTTATTACACTAATTTTATTTCAATTTGTGTGGCGAGCACCTTGACAGAAGGAACATATACTATAAATTCCGCCATTTTATTCCGCCATTATACCTACACAAAACGTTATTTTTTTTTAAAATATGGTATCTAATCATTGGCGTATCTGGGAGTATTTAAATGGGCGTGGGGCAAACGTAAATCATGTGGTTGTTGACCGACATGGATATTCTACGAGATACGCTCACTCGCTTAATGTTATCACCCCAAATCCAAATTGCTCTGTAATGAATGGCTCTTTAAAAATCTCTGGAGCAAAAGTTTGGAACAAAATCCCAAATAGAATTTAAGAATGTCAATCTCTTAATTTATTCAACATTATTTATAAGAAACACTTTTTCTGATTATCACAATTCATTTCCTTTTATATTTTCTTGGGCTACATTTTTAACATTTAATCCCGGCCCCGAAATTTGGACTCAGAAGTACCGGGATGGTGTCCGGCGGGGGATATTTTTTACCATTGTTTAGTTAGATTTGTAGTTAAGATAAAATTTGTGATCCCATCCCCGAAACCTTGACTCAGAAATACCAAGATGGTGTCCGGCGGGGGATAGTTTCTACCATTTTTATCTATTTAAGTAAATGTACAGTATTTGTCCTACCTTGTAATCCCGGCCCCGAAACCTTGACTCAGAAATACCGGGTTGGTGTCCGGCGGGGGATAGTTTTTACCATATTGTAGTTAAGTTGTAGTTAAGCTTAACTATGAGCCGTAATTCCTGGCCAGAAACCTTGACTCAGAAGTACCGGGTTGGTGTCCGGCAGGGGATAGATTTCCACCAAAGGTTTTACTATTGTGTAGGCCTACGGTATTTTATTGAACTGTGCTGGTTACTTTTTGTTGTTGTTATTGTACTGTGTGTTTGCAGGACCATATTGAAAAATAGCGGTAAGATCTCGCCTGTATATGTTATCCTGCCAGATGTTTTAAATAAATAAATAAATAAATAAAAAACAAAATAGATGGGGCGCGTAGGTTAAGTTAGAGGGCTCGATGATTATGTGAAGCGGCGCTAGCTGGCATACACAGCTGGTAGTATGAGCAACGGCGGCGGAAGCGGATGGAGGGGCATAGGCTATCGGTCCCCCTTTTCAACTGGGAAGCCTGGCCCCTCTTTTGTGACTGTTCCCAGCACCAGTAACAAAAATTACAAACGCTGCAATGTCATTGCAAGATAATAATGTCATTGAAGATAATAATAATTATTATTATTACTATTATTATTATAATGATAATGATAATAATAATTATTATTATTATTATTAAAATGATGATAATAATAATAATAATAGGCCTAATAATAATAATATTATTATTATTATTTGCACCATATAAAACGACCTATTATTATTGTACAATATAGATTTTTTTTTCATTTTCCAACGAACATTACAAGTTCCCTTTTCAAATTGAGAAACCAGATGTTGATTGACATCTGTATATACGTGCGTCTGTAAAGTTTTCTTGAAACTTATCCTCGCATGAAGAAAAAACAATGGAATCGCCCACCTTGTGCGAATTCCGTATTTATGCAAGAGGTAGGCACTCTTTCTGGAGCGACGCTCTAGTTCTCAATTAATTATGCTAACCACGAAGACAACTGATTGGCTTACAGTAAACCTTCAAACTAGCGTAATAGAAATTCATCTAATTTAACGAAAACAATAAGATATTAATTTAGACCATTTAATAAAATAAAGTTCTGTGAAGGTTAACTACAGAAATTATAGTACACTGTAGTTAATGTGTTATAGGTTGTAAAAATTGTATTCAATAAATCAAATCTTTCGCTTAAACATTAGGAATTAGTCATTTGTGAAACAAAATTATAGGCATATATCAAGTGTTATATTGAACAGTTTTCTTCTTACCGCAGCCACTACCGTTGTGGGGCTGAGGTGGATGGACACACCATTTGTGCAAGACCCTCCCTAGGTCTCCTCTATTTTGACTTCCTGGACCAGCCACAGTAACTTGGAGTATCATTTCTGGGATACTATAGAAGAGTAATTTTCATCCATCGAGGGAAAATTGAAGGTTTTGTCGGGAAATATTCATATCAAGAACACGTACCCCTCATGATAAATAATTTATTGATATAGTGGAAACAATCTCGACTTTGGCTTTGTTCGGAAATTAGTGGCGGATTCAATGTGGTGGCCTAAATTGTCCAATTTTTTTAATGGAGATTATAAGAAAGTTATATTGAAATTATAAGTCTGAGAGTGCAATTTTCGGTCATCTAGAGATGCCATAATCACACATTTTCTTACCTTATCCCCAACCATGGTGGGACTGAGGTGGTATAGACCCTCCATTTGTGAAAGAGCCCAGTGGCGGATTCAAGGGGGTCCAGGCCCCACTAAATTGCTCTTTTTTTTTAAATGGGGATATAAAATATCGGGCTCCATCGGTTGTTTAACTGGACGTTAAGAGGAACTATAAAGGTGGCACTGGATAAAAAAAGAAAAATGTATAGAGCCTATAATACAACAGCAGGCGACAAGGAATAAATTCTGTTTACAAAAAAAGAAAAGAAAAAAGCAATACCATATTTCAAGTGGCATATCCAGAATTGTTGTCCAATTTTCACGGGTGAATTCGTGTACCCTTAGGAGTTGGCTATCGTATCGTGGAGATAATAATAATAATAATAATAATAATAATAATAATAATAATAATAATAATAATAATAATAATAATAATAATAATAATAGATGGATTTATATAGCGCAAATAAACGAGGTCTCTATGCGCTTGACAATATTGAAGTCAAGAAAACAAAGAAAAAAGCCGGGGAAAAAAAAAAACAAAAAAAAAAAACCAAACCAATAAACACCAAACTATACCCAAACTGAAGTATGGGGTTACACCATCACCGCCAACCGGAGATACGTAAAAAAATAAAATAACATTTCTTATAATGTTCAGGTGACCTGAAAACATACATACGCTTGAGGCTCTAGGTTTGAGATTTTAAATAGTGAATAAAAGCAGGTTTTATTTTTCGTTCTTGGGCAGATTTTCCTTTAGTAGCCTCCTACTTGAATTATTTAACTCGCTGTTTCATTGGGTTGTCCCGTAGAGGGCGCATATGCAAATCAAGTCTTCACACATTTTCAACACCTATAAAACTCGGTTAGGCCTACATGCAAAACATATCTAATTTAGATTGTTTCACTATATTCTTGATTCGGCACACAATAATTATCAACCCAAAATTAAAGAAGCCCATTACATTGCTAAGGGGAAATGATTCTCTTAATTAACAAACAACTAATAACAATATCACTATTCAGCTATAACGTAATATACATGACTTACCTTAGTATTTTGGCTATTTATCATACATCTGACCGGTATATAAGCCGGTAGTAGCATAAGCACTATGGCTTAATCATGACGTGTGACCCGTTGAAACAAATCTTGTGTTAGTAGGACTATCATCTATTTTATTATATGCATTACTGCATTCGTACTAAATAAATAATTGTAATGAAATGGTAATTAACGTAGACCTATAAAATAATTGGTCATTTATTATAAACTTGCATTTATAATACCCTAAAATTGCAAATGCATGTACAGTATCAGTAAACATTTTATGTAGAGCTAATGGATTAGGTCTCTAAAACAACTCCTATTGATACAATTCCTAAAAAAAAAAATAATAGGTTTTATAACACTCAACACAAACAAATATTATTAAGTCTGAGTGGGGTTGCACTATCAACTGCTTGTTAAAATCGGAACAATATATTCAGTACTTAACACTAAGCCTTCCCACAATCATTGTACCATTAAGATACCAGCACATATGCAATCGCAGATAATGACCGGGTAGTTAGGCCTACATGGTAGGTGTTAAATATAGATTACACCATTTACTTAATTAACACTAGAGCCAAAACTGGTCTTTCAAATGTATGCTTCCTTGCTTTGTGTTTTGGCATTAAGCTTCGCTGTAGATTCATCGAAGATTCTTATTTATGTTGGGAATCTACCGATGGGAAGTCATGTTCGAGTTTCCAACTTCTTGGGGAATTCACTCGTTCAGCATGGACATGAAGTTTGGTTTTTGATTCCAGATACATTTTATGATCGTAGAATTAAAGAAGATAAAGGCAAGGTGTTTTCTTACATAACAATGCCTGTTAATTTTACAGCAGAGGAAGTCGATCGTGCCAATAACGACTTCTTGGACAAATCAATGAATGGAGAAACAACATCACTATATAATTCTCTCAAGACTTTACTATCGAATGAGCAAAAACGAGGGGAGGCAAAGCGATTCAAACACGTTCTAGAAGCCATGGTCGTTGCTTGCGATATTTTGCTCAACGATGATGCTTTAATTAGTAAAATACGGAAAGAAAAGTTTGATTTTCTAATAGGGGATAGTCTAATGCCATGTCATCACCTACTATCTAAGCGCATATTGACATCGTATGCTACTCTGGATGTTCCGCCTGTACTCCCTGCTTTAATCTCCAAAATACGTGTACCTAGCAATCCTGCTTATGTTCCTGAAGGATTTTCTCATTTAACCGACGAAATGAATTTCTTTCAAAGATTACTTAATTTTCTCATGGCACAAGCAGTTCCTCTAGCGATGGATATATTCCTTCACAATCCGTTACTAGCTATAGAAACAAAAGACAATGATATTAAGGATGTCCTCAAAAGTAGTCAAGAAAACTTGTTTTCAAGTGTGGATATCTGGTTTGGAGTTAATTGCCATCCAGCTATCGAGTTTCCACGTCCAGTTACCATAGATATGCTATGTACCAGAGGAATGCTTTCTACACCGTCGAATCAAATTTTAGATATATATATATATATATATATATATATGGCATAATTATTGACAGACAAGTAATCTACTGTTCAGGATGGACATCGTCGACGCCCTTTTCCACGTTAGTGTGTCAATTATGAAGTAATTGTGAAGTGCGCCTACAGGAAAACAAGCTGTTTTTTTTAAGTTGTTTAAATTGCAGGATTTGAACCCACTCTGTTTAATTACTTCATGAATATTACAATTACTACTTTGCTTAAATTAGACGGTAGCCTGTAAAAACACCATTAAAATACAGTACTATTTTTACACTGATTAACATAATGTAATCAATACCGATATGTACATAATAAGTAATTTTAATGTCACTATTATCGTTCATAACCATTAATAGGATATACGTATATAATATACATTAATAGGCTATACGTAAATGATATAGATTATTATTATCATCATAATGATCACGTATAGGTATTCGTTTATGTGTTGCAGCTAATGTTAAAGTTTGTTAATAACAATTTTTCCCTGATTCATTTGTGCAGGGTGTGAAGTTTGGTAGAATCCACACTTCCGGCTAGTTAGGTTTAAATGAGCTTTCTTAACAAAATTGATTTTGCTGTCCCTGTGTGATCCCAGAGGCTTTTGTATGCATTCGGAAGTGTGTGGGATTCCCCGGAGATCCCCGAAACTCGCGGTAGACTCTGCACCCCTGTAAAATTGCCTTTCATTGAACTGAATGAAGTATGAAAAGAGAGATAAAACACATTGGACAAGCAGCACGTTAAAATAAACCAGGCTAGCTACCCTAACTTAGCTAAGTTATAAACCTGTATTTTCTAATTCCTATTATTGTAATCGTTGCACACGAACTACTTATCAATACTGTACTGTAGTTGTTCACTCTTGTATTGTTTTTTGTTTTTGTTTTTCTTTTTTTTTCGTAGCAACTACTATCATTCGTGCAATCAGCACGACATGGTGTAGTCCTGATCTCAATGGGCTCTCTTGTCAATATGTCATCAGGTGACCTCCTGGAAACATTAGCTGCAGCATTTTCCCGGCTTCCTTATAGTGTGGTGTGGAAATACAACAGCAAATTTCCACCAATGAGACTGGGAAATAACACAAAGTTGATGAATTGGATTCCACAAAATGACTTGTTAGGTAATAAGCAAATACGCTCATTATTTTGATAACATCAACATTTATGGTTTAAGCCTAAACGGTGTCCGAACATGTCTACCTGCAGATATACGGTACACTTAGGCTGATATTATATAGGCCCACTGTACTTCTTTGTTAGATTACTCACTCAGCAAAAGTTATAAATTTGTGAAAATTGTTTCGGCCGGCCTGATTTTATAAAATGTAACGCAAGGTTGGCGCCAGGACTTGTCCGACCGGGGTATGATGTTGAAGACCCAGGGGAGTGGATAAATGTCTCCGACAAGACTGTAAGTGGGCGTGGTCGGGTGTCCCTTAAAATTTCTCGGAAATGGTCTATGAGGATTTAGATAGCCATATAGGTCTTATGATCGAACATGTGATCAAATACGGCAGCCATCATCTACATTCTGGAGCTAATTCATTAACGTCATTTGAGTACTTACTAATCGATGTTATATCTATTTTAATATTAGTTAGCTTTTTCACTTTTTTGAGTATATACATTGGCCTTAATCTCCTGTTTGGTATAATGAAACCACTGATAGGAAATCTCAAGCGAACTAGACTATCAACTTCGTATTAGCTTACAGAGGTCATAATTCATCCTGAGACGGGAGACGGGAGAATTTGAATGAGAGATAGTCGCTAACGAGTTTAAATTCTTGTCCCCCTGTAATTAATTTATTGTGTACTGTTGAGAAAATGCTCGATCACATACTTATCGTCATTAAAGTAAGCCCTTCTATACATTGTTTTTACGTCCATAAATATAGTATAGGTTCAAGCTCCATTATACCCACTATTATTAGAATGTCAAATTTTGTTTTGTTGTTTGTACTACTTTGCATCAATTGACTGTTGCCATTGCTCATGTAGTATCACAAGCATATTAAGAGCGGCCTGTCAGACGCCTGGTGACCAGTATCGTACAGAGATAAATATTATATTCATCTGAAATAGTATTCTATACTAGTTTGATATATTATCTTTCTAGTTTAACTTAGTCTGTCAATTATTTTACATAGATCCATAGAACATCATAAAGTGTCAAAAAAAAGGAAGTCGGTTACAGCTAAGAAAGTAAAGAAAGTTTGTAGCACGGAATGGGCTTATTATTGAGTCTAGAAAAATAAATTGCATAAGGAACTTTTGCATCGATAAATTTATTAAAATTTATTAAATCAAATTCGATTTAAAAATAAACACTGGCTAATAAACATCTGTCTGTTATACACAACATTGGGTTTTCACTCGACGCAAGAATACTTGATCCCACGAATTTTGGTTGGAAGTAGTTTCGAAAGCTTTATAAAACGCAAATAGTGTTACTCTAAATTAACTGGAGTGGTGGTGACCCAGATAATTTACTTTCACCCCCCCCCCCCACAGGTTTGCCCTCCCACAATCATTCCAATCGTTCAAAGGCAATGGCCAATTAAAAACATTGCATTTAACTAACTTTTTATATTTGTATCATCATAATTGTATATCCAGCCTGCTATGGGAAAACATATTTCCCCCCTAAAGGTTCACATTTCCTCTTTAGGAAACGCAAATGTTAACATAAAAAGATTAATTAGCAGTTTATATTATTATTAAAAATATGACATAATGCGAACTAATATTAAAATTATAAAGTGAAAAACCAAAGCATAAAAAAATATACAGTAAATAATTTTTATATTTTTTTGAAGTGATACGGTAATATATAATAACATAGTAAAATTATGTTTTTATCACTATGGCAGCCAAAAGTTGGAAACATTAAATATAATACATTTTAATTGTTCAATTAAAAGCTTGTCTGCGTATATGAACATTTAACAGACACTTGATCTGACTGAACATGATAAAAATACATTATTGTCTGGCAGATATCTTAATAAAAATGGAAAGATCATGTCCCAGATAGCGTTGGTAGAAACGTATGTCTAACTGCAGAAGTGCAAAGAAACAGGTATCATCACAACTTGGATTCGAAATCATATTAAATGAATTGTCGACGCTGATGAAGTCATGTAATGAAAGTCAGATAAAATAGCTGTCTTATATTGTTTAACTTTATCCGTTCAAATCTTCTAACATTCGTTGATGATAGAAAATTGATACAGGCAATGCCTTTTAAAAACTTCAGTCACCATACCAACCGTCATATTGTTCAACTTATCAGGAGTAATTCACAGATTTTAGAGGTTCGATTCCATTTTCAGTGTCGGTTTGCATACACAGACACACATTATACACGTAAGCGTCTTGCACAAGATAAAAATAGTGATCAAGGTAAAAAAGATAACTGAGTATGTCAGGAAATAGAACGAAAGATGTCATATTGTCAAATAAAAACATGAAACTAAATAAATTTCGGTAAAAGTGTTTAGATACTACTAGGGCCACTAACTACAAAGTTGTCATTCACATAATAACTTGTGTTACACACTTCTGTAAACGAAATTTAGATGTAAGAGCACACATTCTAAATAATTTAGTGAAAACAACATTCTTACGTTTCAAAATACATCTGATAGTGGAAAATTTCTTCCTATTTGTTTTGCCTTTTCTAATGGGTGAGTGTTACTTTGTTATTTATAAATCTTGGAAACGGTTGTTAATATGAAGTGTATTTCAAATTATTAATAATCCCACGCAACTGTTAACATTATCTGTACCAGTGACATATCCTAAAAAAAAAAAAATAAAAAAAAAATCAACTTCACCTCCCCCAGTTTCTTCTCCCTTAAAATAGTCACGGTCAACTAGCTCATATCACCTGAAATCCCCTTAATTTGCGAGCTAGCACCCCTTCACTTGATCATTGAGCCCTCAACCTGCGCCCTTCTCCACCATCAGCTCTCCCATTTCAAGACTCTAGATACACCACTGTCTATAATATACAGTGAAAACAGGAGGCTTGCGCCATTCTAAAACTAGCGTGCTGTAAAGAGTGAAGTGATTTGCAAACTAATAAAGGTCAAGGTTTCTTTCCATACAATCGCTACACGCTAGCCGACTGTTTTCGGTGATGCTAATTGGGAAGTCGAATCGGGGAGGCTTTCCATTGCATCCTGGACTGCTACACAGTACATCGATTGCATTGAAAACACTGTAGCGACAGTGTAAAAATGTTATGGAAACCAGGCTTTAGTGTGTCCATAAGGAATGCAGAAGAATAAACACTAGGTGAATAAATCTGTAAAAGTAAGTTCAGATCTCAAAGTGCACAATTTAAAATTGGGCAAAGACACTTTCTGTTTGCCAGCCACCTCTAATTGAAGGTAGACAGAGAGGAATAAGACATATTTACTCTCAGAACATCCATTTTAAAACTAGTATTGAGGAAAATATTTGTTTGTTTGTTTGTTTGTTTGTTTATTGCAAATTTCCACACATAAATAATACATTGACAAAATGAATTTCATTAAAAAAATCAACAGATAATAATATAACATTTTAAGACTAAATATTAAGGATGAAAATTCATATTTCATCAATGATTATAATTAAAACATTTGCAAAAAGAAATGATGGATGGAGTGGACCTGGCTGCTCAAGATACGGTGTATCACAAACATTAACACACATTTCCAAAAACGTTTAATGTGGACAATGATCGGTCCGCTAAACAACCAAGAGTAAAATATGGCCAGCCAGTAGCTTGCCACTGAATACCCTAAGAAAAACTACGATGAGCAAATATCAGTCACATGTAGCACAGATAGTGCTGGAATACCTTAAGTTGGCTGGTTCAATCCAGAAACCGTATGCTGTGCGATATGTATCGTAAAGCAGAAACTTCAAGAAAAAATGTGGTGACAAAAGATAGCAATCACAAATTGTAATGGAAATGCAGACGTCATTATACAGTATTTAGAACCACGGCTTCCCCAATGACTATTACACACAGGCAAAATGTAGCAATGATGAAAAATACAAGGAATTATAGAAACATCTGCAAAACTGGTAAAAATGAGATAAAAAAAATTGTTCCTTGTACAGATTATTTAATAGTTCAGGCGTTGACAGAAGAAAACGCCCACGGAGTCTCTAAACCACATCCTGAAAACGTGATCTGAACATCCTCGTAAGTGATCTATACATCCACTGTTACCCTGCGCCTACGGACCATTATGTCCTTTGCAGGATGTACCTGGTAGTGGCTATCGGCACTGCCGCAGTGCTGATTTGGCACTGCCGCAGTGCCAAAAGTATAATTCATAATTCATAATTTTATTTCACTCAAAACGTAATGGGACTGGTTAGGCTAAAAGAAACATGTCCCTGTACAAGACGCCTTAAAGAGAAACAATGATAATGTTAATGGCAAAGACATCATCATCATAATAATAATAATAATAATAATAATAATAATAATAATAATAATAATAATAATAATAATAATACAGATAATAATAATAATTAAATAATAATAAAAAGTAAATGATAATAATAATAATGAATGAAGATCAAAATATATCATTGAAGTGAATTCAGTTATTTATTAAAACACGATTTGGAGGGCTGGATTGTCATGAAGGTGTTGTATTAATTATGTTCTAAATATTTGCCTTTTATTATATCAATAATTGATTAGGTCTAGCTTAGCCTATATTATTGTTAACATTATATTATATTTGTTTAACAATTAGTTTAAATATTTATTTCTAATTAAATTATTAAATGTATACAATACCGTATATATTATTTAGGCCTAGGCATATACATAAAACAAAAAATAAACAAACAATAATAATAATAATAAAAATAATATTAACAATAATAACAATAATAATAATATTAAATAATAATAATAATAATTTTACGATAGTTTGATTAATGAAATAGTAATAATCAGCATATTAAATAAAATTACGTCCATGCAAAACCTGCTCTTTTAAATAAAAACACTATCTATTTGATTCTGTTTTAAAAAATAATCTTATAAATTATAAGTTTATTTTCTGCAATAATTTTATCCACATATGCATATTAATATTAT